AATCCCGACAATCGTATGCAAATTACAAACTGTGTGATTATTCACTGTTCCCGTGAATTTAATGATTTGTGGGAATGTTTCAGTAGCCTTAACAGATCCAGCCACACGTTGCCTATATGGTGATGGAAGGAGTACTTTGGGTCACCCTCCCTAGTGCCGATTCAAAAATTAGCATGAATCCATCCGGGCCCTCTCATGAGGGGTCTCGACATCTCCCCTCTCCCCCCCCCCTCCTCCACCCTCCCCCGACAACTAGACTCAAAGGTTGGTGTATGTTTCATGTGCCTATACGAGGTTGATAGGTGGAACGTTTATTCAGATCGGCCTAACGTTTCGACAAAATCGTCGTCCTCAGAGGCCTAAATGTGGTTCAAGGTTGACATATTCTACTCCACCAAGCGCCTCTATCCCCTCTAGCGGTTCCGACGTTCCGCCAGAAGCTCCACACAGAAACATAACCAAGTGTGATATTGCGCTCACCCAGGGCTACACCGTTTGCGCAGATGAGGGGAGTTGGAGAATAGACTTAAAGAATTCTCCCTATACAGCCTCAAATCCTCACTCCCCTACGCTATGATTTCGTCCATTTCAAGTCTTTTCCTAAAAATTTGTGAAAAAATCGTCGAGATGACCTACCTTCTCCTCTACCTACATGCAACACAGTCCCTCTACTTCCTCCACCGCGCCCTCGCCCCTAAAATCCAAAATCTCATTTACGACCCCTCTTTGCAATGAGAAAAGCCTGAAATGCAGCCCTTTTGTAGAGGATCATACATAGAGATATCTACTATGACCAACAGTTTCTTCGGAAAATCCCAACTTGCAGCCGTATTTAACTGGAGGCGTCATGATTGTAGAAGAGTGGGTATCGTTATCTGGGAATTCGGGTGATTTTCTTCATAATTGTTACGGAATGTGCACTGAATGGGTATCGAGCATGAGCTCGGGCGATAGAAAGCACGCCACCCTCTCCCTTTTCCCGGGCACCCCCACAATGTTGCAGGAGGGAATCCTTTCTAATGATAGCAGTGATAGTGGCTAGTGGCTTTAGTTGTGATGAGATCTCTTACTGAGGATGGTGTCTTGAATTTTATGAAATCCGCCGAGCGCAGCGCTTGCCCTACCCTCATGATTCCGACACGATTCTCTCGTCCAACTCAGCTGCACGGACGGTTGGTCGTGGTCATCCTTGCTTCTGAATATAGCAATTGGAATCTATTGGTGTGGGGTGCCGATAATAACTGTAAATTCTTTAGCAGGACGGTTCGTTCTCGTGTAATCACGGGAGGAAAGAATGTGATGCGAATCGTCTGCAATCATGTGTGATAGATGTCTTGAAGGTGAGCCGGCTATTCTTGCCATTCCCAGTTTCAGTCATAGCCATCAATTTCAGTCATCTGGAGCCCTGCCTTTCATCGTGTGCTTCGAGCGGATCATCCATCACAACACCGTCGATCAAGCTATGCACGCCTGTTCAGCGTTTATTCGAAGTCAATATCGTCAAATTAGGTACTAGTTCCGAAATCAATAAATACCACGCCATCCATAAAATTTGTATTTCATAGCTACTCGAATTCTGCGCACTTCGAAGGCAGCGTCACAATGGCTGAAGGGGATGCGCTCTTGATGGACTCTATAGAACTTCACTGGTGGGGAGGGGATTAAAGGGCAATAAAAAGCTAAGTCAACCACGCCTTCTCTCCACCTCCCCCCCCAGCGCGTTGAGTGGTTAAGTTAACCAATGACGTCACCAACCCGCTACGGCCTCCAGCCAGGGTCGTGATTCACTGCCAACCAATCAGGCTCTCATTAGATTATTATTTTTGCATTTTACCGAAAAATTTTTCAGGTATTGTTATGATGGTGAACGGGGTGTCCAACTGCAACGTGCTGCTGCACATAAGACAATGAGCACCAAGCCGCATCCAATTTTAGAGGTAAGCTGATAATAACCAGATCGAACTTAGAGGCATACTCACACAAGTTTCATGCTGAGTAATCGCTTTATAAATAGATTAGCAGTCCTTCACATATAAAAATATGCCGAGGTACCCGACAGGAGGCCCGTTGCGCGGCGGGAAAGCAGAGACGTAAACAGAAGTCGCAGCGCGTACTGTAGTGGTTTCGCGTCACGTTAAATGGGATGTACTATAGTACCCCACATCCCACAGCATGTGCTGTGACTCCTCCGTCTGCGACTCGTCTACACCTCTGTCGACGGGTCTTCTGTCGGGTACCCACATAAGCCGCTCCCATGCGGCCATATTAGTGGGTTGTATGTTGTCTCGCTTTTCGCCTGCCTCTCTCCTTGTTCTCGCTTCAGCGCTCACTGTCTTTTTCTCGCCACATTGGTTATCTTACAGAAGTTTTGGTCGTCTTTCATGCTTTGCGCTGTTAGTTTTCTTTTTTCTTCGCTCCTCCAATTCGCACATTTGGTTTCATTTTCAAGTGCAAAAAGCACATCATTCGATCAAAAGTCTTCGTTTGAAATTTCTCGGTAAATCGAAAGAAACTAGATCGAGCGAAGATAACATTGAGGCTGCTGATAGATGCGTTGTGTCAGGGTGGTCCAGTGGTTGTATGTATCTGTAATCTGGAACCCAACGATAACAGATAATAGGAGTCTGAAGTCATAGCAAGGTGCAAGTACAAAAGAGCTATAATCTATAATGTTCCTCGAAAATGTCGAAAGCGAGGTAGAATCGGACCAATGCCTTGTGTTTACGTGGGAGGGTGGAAGGTGCAGAGCTCTGTTCTTATAGATGATTGAACCTGTATCATAAATAGGGCGAGGCTTAGCTAAAACGTCGTCTCATCCAGGGACTATTGTCGCAAACGACGATACGCTACATCACATTTACCCAACTCGTAGGACCGGATCACGTATAGACCAGATGCTCTCCCCGAACTTGGTTAACACATTGGGCGACCACTATTGTATGCCTATCTACCTATATTTTTTCAAAAATTTTTATTCAATAATTATACAGGGCGGAAGTGGTGTAGTGGCAAGTGGCGCTTACCACGCGAGCGGTCCGGGGATCAAATCCTGGGTCGTGAGTCGCCCGGGCCAACCAAGCCTTCCATCCCTCCGGGGTCGGTTAATTGGTACCAGACTTGTCTGGGAGGGATAAAAACACTGACTTGTACATCGGCTGGCCCCCGCAAGTCATTGTATAGGCCACATCGCATTCAAACGCCACTACGAATGTACAAATGGAAGTAGAATGCGTGCCGCATCCCAAAACGGGATTGATCAACGGCAAATGCTTTATCCTTTATCCTTTAATTACAACTTCACTGACAATTTCATGAATAGTAATGAATATCCTCTACTTCCCCACCCTCCAATGCATTGATAGTTTTGAAAAATGATAATGAAAATATAAATCAATCAAGAATCCTCCTCCGAGGGAAGGTGCGAGCAGTATGTGTCCCGCGTAGTCGTCAGTGTGTTAAAAGGTGTAACACATGTCTGATAGAGTGGAAACAACTGTATAAACATGGACTTTACTCTAGGCAATCCAATCTGCTAATAAATATACAATAATGCAAAATAATAAAGGAGATGTATCTACATGGATCTGTGGGATTTTGTACCATTATCACCCCTTTACAAAACAGCACCAACTAGGTTTTGTTATCCTTCAGCGTAAAATGAAGCCAAAGCAGTTTGATCCGTTTCCCGATCAACACGATCAAGGCGGAGGTGTGGCGTAGTGGCAAGTGGCGCCAGGTAACTCAGGCGTAGTTTGGGGTATCATTTCCCTGCACGAATCTCTTCCAGGCCAAGCAAGCTTTCTGTCCTTTCGAGTTCGGCCAATCGGTATTTGTTTGAAGGATTTGAAGACAAATCTGTACATCGAATTACCTCTAGGATTTTCAACATAAAGTAATTTTCAACATAAAGAAAATCTTGTCGTATCCTTCAAGGAATCCAAATGAATATTGAAGCCAAATGCTTGAATATTTAGGCGATCTAGTCGGAATTCGCAAAAATGACTTCTGCATTTTTGTGCAACATCCGAAATGTTTAGGTGCCGTACCTGCTTATCAACGATTACACGCCGTCAGTGGACAATAACAATTTGAATGTGATGCTTCTTCCGCAGTTACTCAACAAATGGTTTAAGTTATATTCGTGATAACACGAGCTACGTGATATCCTGTGTATTTATTGACGATCTTCCAATTGTATGCTTTACTGAAATACTGTCAAAAAATAAATTATATCATTATGCGGTCTTTAGAATTGATTCGGTTTCTTGAGCTATGCGGCAGTTCTTCAGTCGCAGCTGCTGCAGGATGGACACAGCCTTAAGGGATGATGCAAATATTATGATCTGGTATTGAGAAGCCGAAAGGAAATGGTCAACGATTGTCCGCATTAGCAAGCGATTCCGTCACATAAACAAATGGACCGGGGCGATTTCCGTGTAAGCGTAAATATTTTCCGCCTGGACAGACAGGGCAATTATCGCCATACGATGGACATCCGATCCGATTTCGGATAAACCTCGAAAAATGTGCAGTCCTGAAAGTCGCGGTGGGTGCAGGGAAAACTGCTGTGGACGTGGAGGGTGTTATGGAAACGGGATATAATAACCCCAAAAATAACTCATTCGAGGTCTTGTCTTTGAAAGTAATTCGGTGTCCTGGTAGCGAATGCGACATCTGTTTTCAGTAATAGCGCCATTTGGTATAAATTTACGCCAGTTATGGTGGAACATCTCTCACCGTAATAACTTCGTATAGCATACATTGAAGCCTTCTACCAATAAACGCGACATTAATTGGGATCCTTTGGAGCAGCGCATCACATGCGCCGAATCCGAACTATCATTTACCAACTACCGACCATCACTATAACCACGAAGAACCAGTCTTATTTGGGGGCTGTCTTCACTTACAGCGTATGGCCTGCGAGTATAGGATATAAATAAAAAAGGATAAAGCATTTGCCGTTGATCAATCCCTTTTTGGGATGCGGCACGCATTCTACTTTCCATTTGTACATTCGCAGTGGCGTTTGAATGCGATGTGGCCTATACAATGACTTGCGGGGGCCAGCCGATGTACAAGTCAGTGTTTTTATCCTCCCAGACAAGTCTGGTACCAATTAACCGACCCCGGAGGGATGGAAGGCTTGGTTGGCCCGGGCGACTCACGACCCAGGATTTGATCCCCGGACCGCTCGCGTGGTGAGCGCGCCACTTGTCACTACACCACTTCCGCCCTCTCTCATATAGATATCATACTCCTTATAATTAGGCAGAAATTCCTCTGTGGACAGTGTTTTAGCAGGAAATTTTTGACCTCATCGAGATCGCACTGATGCAGGCGCTTGAGGCGCTTGAGGTCCATTAATACTGCCATATTCATCATGCGAAGAACTGTGAATAATAACAATTCACATCATGCTGCAGTAACTTTTCAAAAATTTCATGACATTTCACGCGATGTGCGTAAAGAAGAATCAGGTCGCACGCTCATGAGCTTAGGCCGCCCAAGCATCTGGTCAGGCTCATGAAAAATGCTAACGCAGAGTCATCTTGAATTCGCACACCTAATTGGAATCGGCAAGCAATTCTCATTCTAAAATTCACTCACCTGAAACTCGTAGACACGTTCACTATCTAAATAAGAGTGATTGCGTCTGGCGCTGTCCAATGGAAATCGATCAGCGCTCACCTTTGATTCTGTCTAATTGGAGGTCCCAGCTTCTCCTCAAAAAATGTTTCAGTGGAAATTCGATTTTCACCTAGCTGAAGAGCATTTTTTCTTAGATCTATCTAAGCCATAAATTTATGACAACAGATGTGTGACTATCTCGCTGCTCTAAAAACTTATGCATCCCCGTCAGAATGTGCTGTGTCATCTATCAAGTACCACATGTGTTCTACATGAGCAGAGCGCAGTTATGAGAGACCAGAAATCGTATCCCATGGAACAAGAAAAATTTGAATGCCAGTATCGCAGATTATGAACTCTCACACTTATGACGTTATAAGCCGGTGAGTCCACTCACCGCTTTTCGTGTCGGATCGTGAACATAAGTGAGTTTTGTTGTTTCTTTTGTAACAGCTGTTTTTGACCAGGGTTCGCGAGTTTAAAAACTCGCATAAGGATGCCGAGTTGAAAGCAACGATTGGTTTTTTTCTTGGGGGGGGGGGGGTTCAATCAGGGTCAACAGTGTGCGTTGCGCAGATTTCGAACATTTACAGCCCTCCCTGTTCAAAGGAATGGTATCGCAGTGTCGTATTAGCTATGGTGTATGCGCTGCCACCGAAATGGAGAGGTGATGGACAGTGGTAAGTCCGGGCGCTTTGTCTCGCTCAGAAGATGGGAATCGAGGCGACATGAAATTTCACTCATTAAATAGACAGTTTCCAAATTTCTGCGTCGAATTAGGCATGGTAGTAATCGCAGAGACTTCTTCTTTCAGAAACCAACCAGGTTTTTTTTTCGAAGACATCCGCAATTTTTTTTCATATACTGAATAATAACACCATGCAGCAATTCGGCTACGACACAAATTCTTCGTTCGAGAGGTTTACAATCCTTCATGAGCGGTCTCATAAGATGGATTCGCAATTTTTTTTCAATAAGACTGAATAAACTGAACCAATGCAGCAATTACGTTACGGCACACAACACTTCTTCGTTCGAGGAGGGTACCTCAGAGCGAGTTCCTCGTAGGATGGATACAGGGAAACTTTAAAACTACAAATAGTTTCCTTTCTGGAAAGTTTTTAAACTTATACAAGTTCAGTTCTTCAAAAGATCGTCCGATGTTCCGATTTTCGGTGCACACTCGCTTTTCATCAATTTAAACTCATTATTCTTCCTTCATTATAACCTTTGGAGATTTTTCAAAGCTAATTAGTATTTAGAAATTAGCGCTTCAAAGAAAGTGTCGGTACGTTTTCCAAAAATCAACATTTCCTCCAAAATCGTCCGGCAATTCGTTTTTCAGGTTCTGGTGATCCGATTCTTGAGACGCATGGTTTCATTTCATTCACGAACGTTCATTTACTTTCCTTCACTATAACTTTTTCACAGAAGATTTTCAAAGCTAATTAAGACAACTGAATATCGACGCTTGTGAAAAAAATATCAAGATCTTTCTAATGCGGAAACTCTCTTCGAAAAGATCGTCCCGTTGTTCCGTTTTTTTTTTTCGAATCACAATACTATATTAAGCAGGATGCTGAAATTAATCTTGAACTAGGAACACTTTCCCCCTGATACGGGTTTATTACTACAGCAGAAGTCAAATCGCGATTTCCCTTACCACTTTCCTCCACTTTGAATTCTTACTAAAGCGCATGGGAATTTCTTCTGGAAAAATCCTTGGTCGCCTTTGGCTGTCAACTGACACATCAGACTGTAATTTCCGGAGGAAATCTCGCTTAGGATGCGGCCATCCATACTCGATGGCTGGAAACTTGCGAAAAAAAAGGTCATAGGGAAAATTGTCGAAAACTTACAAAATGGAAACTTCACTCCCGTGGGCCTTTGATTTTTCGCTTCACAGGCTACAAACGATCAGACCTATGGACGAGTTCGCAAGGGCCTTTGGTACGGCCATGCCCCTTCTCGCATTGCTGAGTCGATCTACCAAGGTTGGCCGACGTTTGTAGCAACGAACCATTCGAAATCATCGCAGTTGACATAGCTAGCCGACACCCTTTTCAGGGCGGCGGCGCATTGTTCAAGTGCTGCTCAGGAAGTCAGCGCGAGCCTTCGCCGTGAAAGCCGTTACCACTCGTTTCCGGCAGCAAGCTCCAGCTCTTCGTGTGGCGCATGTAATACTATCCCCCAATTGCGCGTGCCTCTTCTAGTCGTTACCGAGCTTTTCTTTGAGAGCAAATAATAACCCCCTACTGCTGTAACTGCCGCATCATGAGCTGCAACGATGAAGTCGAAAAAGGCAGCCTTCATGGGGAGCAGCTCTAGGTGAATCCCTTTGCTGAAAAAAATTCGGCGCGACCCCCCGTATCCTTGCTTCGCCAGCAGAGTTATGATGGCTTCACAAAGGATATGGTTCGTTAGTTAAAATTAGCATCTATTGGCTGATTATGTCCAAACTGAATGAGCCCGCTGAAAATTTAATTGTCGCAATGTTGTTGTCTATCCAACTATCAGAAAACCTCAATTGCTTCCACCAGACGGGATCAGGTTTTCCCACGGAAACATAATGCACGGTCAACTCAACGGGGAACTCGACGCACCGTGGCCATGTACGAATTATCCTGAAGCTGAGTGCTCCAGCGCAACAGCTACTGTTCCTAAGAGAACTGTCCATTCACTTAATCGATAAGAAATTATGTGCGCCTTACGCCACGGAACGATTCCAGTAGGGCCAGCATTGAGCCGGACGCCTGATGGGAAGATGACGTATTTCTGATGGACGGTTGAGGCCGCACTAAAGAATGGCCTATTCTGCTTATGAGGATATTTGAGGAGATATTTTCGTTTTCCCGTCGACAGCAGCACCTCTGTGTGGACAATATTTTCGATGAAAGATGCGCCATGGCCAAGTTGACTTTTTGTGAGCTCACTCCTGTATAGTAAAGAACTTAAAGCATTGTCCACGCGTTGCAAGCGCACTTCCAGGTTTTCAAGCGTTTCATTATCGCGACATGTTAGCATGAAAGTTAATACCCTAAAATCCCATAGATAAGAGCGGTCCATAGATATTTTTTCAAAAATAAAATAAAAATAAAAATATTTTTTCAAAATCATTTTTTACCGGTAAATTAAACCGCTCTTATCTATGGAATTTTACTGATCGAATGGGCTCTTCAAGTTCTATCCAGAGATCAAATTCCGGCATTTCTAGAGAGATTCCGGCAGAAATTCCGTTAAAATCGCTATTTTTCTATATGAATTGTTTATTAAGTGGGCGGGGTTTAGAGTTGAGGGGCGGAGCTTCTTCTAAACTTCTTCTCCGATTTTTATTTATCCATCCATCAAGTTAGAGGGGTGACTGCATTCAATTTCAATTTCATTCCAATTCATTTTTCACCGGTAAATTAAACCGCTCTTATCTATGGGATTTTAGGGTAAAAGGAATCTTCGCGGAAAAATCATGATTCTATTTCAGCCATAAATCACTGGCTTGAGACTCATTCATCCACGA